AAGCATTTAGTTATAGTATGAACAGTCATCATTCATCAGTATGCAAATCTCATAAATTCCGGACTCTACAGATGACAGACAGAAAGACATACAGACGAATATGGGAAATCTGTTTTTTCATATTCTAAAGGTTATGGAAAGTCGAGAAAACATGAAAGTAGTCATTCGCCAGATGGGCGCTATTACAATAATTCTTTAGCATATGTTCGAGAAGTGAAAACTGTTAAATTAAGAACGTCGTTTCGGCGTACATTATCCAAGTCACTGGATCTTTGGATAACTGTTTATTAAAGATACTTTTAATTTGTTTTACTGTTTTAATAGTAATACATAGATTTAATCATACAGGGTGTTCAAAAATGGCGCACCAATTCAAAGATACATGACTGAGTTCACAAGTCCAAGTCTGAGAAAAATCGTTAAAAAATTCTTTATTGCCATCAGATATAAATGGACCTGAACAACGTGTCTTAGAGTTGGTGAGCCATTTTTTGAATACTCGGTTGCACAATTCGACACCCACTGGGAAGGGCTGTTACCCAAAAAAATTGGTCGAATGTGATTTTGAGAGAACTTTCTTCGCGTTTGAATTTCTCAGTATATGTATTCTTAACTTCGGATGTTTATGTTTATACTTCGAAAAATTCGATTATTAATAGCTTCAGATTACATCAGCGGTTAAAAGAAAACGAAATTAGATGATTTTGTCTTCTCAACGCAAAGGAATGTAATTAGTTAATTAATTAATTAATTAATTAAACACACTCAGTTGTTTTCCCAAAAAACTGGATGTCTAGAGTAAACATTCAAAAATTGAAGAATATTTATTTCGCAAAATTGTAAGATAACATCATCAGTTTATGTGGGGGGAGGAGGGGGGCATAAGCTGACAGACGGAAGAGAGACAGACAGACAAACGGAAACGGGAAACCTATTTTTTCGTATTCTCGTGGCCATGAAACGTCGAAAAAACATGAAAGTAGGCAGTTATCTGATGGACTCGATTGCAATAATTCCTTAGCTTATCGAAATAAATTAGAGACAATTCCTTAAGAAATTATTTCATTAATTCATTAAACAAACTTAGTTTCATAGACAAATAATTACATATAAAATTTGATCAACGTTGTCATTTTCAGAAATATATTGAAAGCTTTAATTTTAGTCCACTTATTGTTTCCAAAACCAAAATACTTTAAAAACATTGAGAACTTTGAGAACATCGAGAATTTCGAGACGTTTTAGAACCTTGAGAAGTTTGAAGATTTCGAAAAATTTGATAAATTTGAAAACTTTGATAATTTCAAAAACATGAAAAACTTTAAGCACTTTAGGGATTTCGAGACTTTAAGAACTTTCAAAACTTTGAGAACTTCGAGAATTTCAAAAACTTTGAGAATTCTAGATACAGAAAACTTTAAAAACCATTTTAAGACCGTTAAAATCTTTAACAATTTTAAAAGCCCTGAGGCCTTCGAGAAATTCGAGAACTTAAAAAACATTGAGAACCGTCAAAATATTGAGAACTTCGAGAATGTGAAGAATTTCGAAGGTTTCGAGAACTTAATAAATTAGAAAATTTTGATCATTTCAAAAACATGAGAAACGTTAAGCACTCTAAAGAACTTTAAAAACGTTGAGATTTTTGTAAACTTTGACAATATCGAAAACTTTGAGAATTTTGACAACATTAAGACCTTTAAGAACTTCGAAAATCTCGAGGCTTTTGGAAGCTTTGAGAATTTTGAGAACTTTGATCATTTCAAAAACTTTAACAACTTCAAGAACTTTAAGAATTTTGACAGGTTTGAGAACTTTAAAATTTTTCAGAATTTTGAGACTCTTGAAATCTTACGACTTTAAAAATACAAAAATCTTTAAGAACTTTAACAACTTTCAGACATCTGTGAACTTTGAGAACTTCGAAAACGTTTCGAGAATTTTGAGAATTTTAAAAACTGTTAAAACGACTTGAACAAAAAAATATTTAAGAACTTTAAAAATATTGAGAACTTTGAGAATTTCAAGAACTTCGAGAACCTCGAGAAATTTCAGAACGTTGATATTTTCGGAGATTTTGAGAATTTTGACATCTATGATTATTTTAAAAATATGAAAAATTTAAAGCACTTTAAAAACTTTGAGATTTTTGTGTAGTTAAAATTATTAGTTTTTTTTTTTTGTAGTTAAAAATAAATTAGTAACAATTCGCTAAGATTTCATTAATTCATTAAACAAATTTAGTCCCATAGACAAATAATAATTATAATATTTGATTTTGTTTTCAGAATTGTTTATTTGTTTACGATAATTTCTACATGTTAAAGTAATTACATGTTTGTAGTAAGATCATGTTAATAAATTTTGTGGCGATAAAAATTAAGTAAAGAGTTTTTTATCTTATCGGTAAAATGTATTGCTTCATTAACTATTTTTTGTAAAGGAAAAATACGTGAATTTTGACTAGCAGTTGATCACGTTATGCAAAATTTCAGTGCAATTTAACTAATGTTCTATATATATTTTTTTATCTAAAGGCACGAAGATGAAAATAGGGGCGAATTAATAAATCACAGGTATAGAAACATATTATATCGCATATTTTGAATAGTATTTATTTAGAAAAATTTTGAGATGACGTCATCAAATGTTTCTAGTAATGAGTGGACAACCTTTAGTTGTTTTTTACTGATGCACGATATTTTTATCATAATTAACTAACTAATTTTCACAATTAGTTTAGTAGTTTCGAAAATTATTTGTCTAAGAAAATCGCGCACAGACGACAGACAAATGTAAATGGGAGTCCTAATTTTTTATATAATAGGAGCTGTAAGACGTGACGAAAATGTGTAGCTAGCCTATTTACAGTTATAAGTGAAAAATAAAAACAGATCTTACATGAAAACGATCTAGGTATCTTAAAAAAGTGTTCTATACAGAATATCGCAAATAAAGTTTTTGTGTTAAAGAGAAATAAAGAAAGTAGTTAGTAACTTTCAATATCTTTCTGTAGTGTCTTCACACAAATGTCGAATATCATTCCGTAGAAATTTGAGATTTAAGATATCTTGAACCCTTACCAGTGTCCAAGAGTAGTTTTTTTTTAAGATGGCTACTATTACCATCTGACCTGATCTGACCTGACGTGACTTGACCTGATCTAACCTGACCTTATATGACCTGACCTGTCCTGACCTGACTTGACCTAATCTGAATGGGTAATCAGAGTATCCATAATGAGCCCTAACAGATATCCAAAAATCTATTTTAAACGATTGCTTCAAACTGATGTAGTAGTGTCAAATATAACTAGGTCATACAATTAAAATTCAACTTGGTAGTGTCTGAAAATACAAAATTTTTGGAATTTGCAACACAAAAATAACAACTACTGTATTTTCAGTTTCCAAGACCTTTCTTTTGTGTCCTTAATACAGGCTATTTAGATTTCCATCTACCAATCCAACAACAAGAGTTGCAGCACCTTGGTGACTATGTGGAGAAAACTTTATTTATTTCTTCTTAAGTGGATCTACATAGTATTTTATGAACAACTACAAGACTCTTTATGATCTAACTAGATTGTTAAATTTCAACAAAGAAACTTTGTAATGAAGCGAATTTTCTGCGACGAGAGTACCGATAGATAACAGATCTTGTGACAACCATGCCGCGCTGATCTACGCCGCAAAATACCACTTGAGTTTTTCGCCGCCACGCGATCCACTGGGAAGCCAGAGACGACTTTGAAAGTTCTTAGAATAGTATTAATAGTTTTAGAGATATTTTGAATTTCAACCATTGTATTATCTCCATTGTGACCGCCCACGAAACCCACCGGAGATACTTTTTTCCGACTAGAGTACCTCAGGTGCTTCCTCTCCGTCGAGGAAGCTGGCGCCCGAGCAACCGCCCCCGAAGAAGGCGCCAATCCTCTTTTCGCCAAGATCATTGATGTTATAATGTCAACGCAGTAATAAATTTTTTTATAGGTTATTATTAGTTATCTATCTAATTTGCTTCATTTTACAATAGAATGTAATATTATTTACACCTGCACCAGGATGAAATTATATATTACATCAAACTTTTTGTAATAAGCTCATAAAGCTCCTGATACGAAAAAAGTATTCATTATTGTTATATTATTTGGACTTCAAGATACCACGTCTTAATTAACGAACAAGAGCAGCAAGTTCCAAGTGCCACTAAAATCGAATCACGGAAATTTGGTAGTGTTTTGGTACGAAAAAATCACGACGATTAACTAGTAACTATGGTTTTTTTCTCGGTTATTATAGAGCAGTAGTACATATTAATACTTAATAATTTAATTAAGGTTATTCATCTAAAATTATAAAAATTAGGTAGTTACACTAAAAGCTGTAATAGTTATGGATAATGTTCCATCTTATTGGAATTCGATGAGGTATTAAAAGGTATCTCTCCATTATTCTGCTGACACATTAAGTTCCATTGGCTTTAACAGTCGTCTGAAATTCCATTTATACATAATCCAAACTGATATCTTCCATAATGTCATTTCGAGATAGATAACTCAATTATTATTTGTCAATAAAATAAATTTTCAAATGGAAGTAGCGGAAAATCACCTTTGTCTAAGCAAAGGCTTAATTTAAAACAAAATATCTATTAAGATTTAGTAATTCTGGTCAAAAAATGCGCAGAATAGACAGTTTCTATTTACTTTTCCCGTAAGATAGCAGCGATCTTCGAATGAACATTCGGTATCAAATAAGCGCAGATTTAATTAAATTTATGCTTTTCATTAATGTGACTGCTCTCTAATGGAGTTCCTTCTTTTCTAAATGCACTGTTGTTAATTAACACTAGCTTAAGCTCTCTGTTCAAACTTGGTTAAACGTAACTGTATATTCAGTTCCTCTCGCAGTAAAACAAAGTTCTTATTGTAATTAATTTAATTCGTTCATGTGATGATCGTATACGCCGTGCAAGTAAAATTAAACTCGACTTACCTCCTAAAATGAAGAACCCGCAGGCTATTATTGTTTTATTGTCGCTGTTACAATGGCCGAGAAGTGCGAAGAAGGATGCGAGTAATAGCAAAATTACAGCCGATCCTGTTAAAACTGTGCATGACCTGAAAGCAAAAGGTAAACGTTACCCTCGTGACAAAACGAGCAAATACCTAACGTATGTATGGTTGTAAATCAGTTTTAAGGGAGATAAACGGTCGTGTGACTCGACTTTCCTGGACGTTGAAATTAAATTAAACGATACACCATCATAAGAGCGCTATTAAATTAATTGAAATAGGAGAACTGCCGCCATCGTAAATTTGTTCCAGGTAGGCGCATGTCTTGTTCACTGAAAAATTTCGCCCACATCCAAATTTAATCCTGTATGATGCAGATGCGGGTGCAGTTATAAACAACGATTTTTTGTTCTGGACAAAAAATTCACAGCGGAATGAATCAAGAGGTACAGTTTCACAAAAATTATTTTATAGCTGCCCGGATGGCTCTAAGCGTGATGACATATGCAATTTTTACGACGGCGGTAATGCGGCAGCTTTTACAGTAAGTGAAATGTTTCAAGGTAATAATTTTAGAAAATGCAACAACACCCGGAGTATTTTTGTTTTTCTTCTCACAGTCGAATTTTATGGAGGAATATTTTTAATGCCCCATTACCTCGAACTTTGAGAATCCGTATCGAGGATTTAGTTTTTACGACGAGACGTGGCAGGATGTTAAGGGCCCTAGTAATATAAACTATATGTTTATGTAAATATCGCAGAAGAATGGCTGTGGAAATATAGAGAATCAACAAGAGGAAGTAAAATCGTATAAATTATCATTTTATATGTTTATAATATCCGGAACTGTAGCTTTATCCTTATCGGGTTAAGTTATCTATTTTACTCGCCCGTCGGGACGAAGATAGTGCTTATAATTGAAATATGTGACATTTATATCTTATCAGTTAAGCGATACACCGTCTTTATTGCGTGAAATAAGTTGCTCTGTGGGTAATGAATTACCAGGATTTTCTCTGGAAGTAATGGGCTTTTTAATGTTTCAGAGTATTCTGTGATCGATGGGGATTATGTGCATTCTGATCCCTTTCCGTGCTGGAACAAGAATTATTTTAGTGGACTGCTGTAAAAGCAATTACGCTCCAATGTAAATCATGTTGCTGGAACGCGGGATTTGTCATTAACCACGTCCATACTGCTTTTTGTAAAATCATTACTTACTCGTTACTCCGGAAGGTGTTACTAGAAGAAACTAAGGCAGTATTGATGCTTAAATTATGACGAAACATAAGACATAGATTTACGAACTTAAGCAAAAATAAATAAATTTCGACTCTTAATCTCGTTTATGAATCATGAAAATGCACACTAAAATAAAATTTACTGGGGAAATTTTCGCCACTAGGGCAAGATGGCGTGAGTTATAGTCTGAGATGTAAAAGTTTTGCTTGCTTATTTTTGTTCGACAAATTAATTTATACTCGTAACTGTGTTAATAAACATAAAAGCTAACACAACATGTTTTGTCCGCTGTTAACCATCTTCTTGGTTAAACAAGAACTAAATCTAAGAGTGACCACTCTATTATCGTTCTCGTAAACGTTACTCCTAAAATTTAATTTTCCGACGATCTAACATTAAAGTTACTATACTATACTAACTACATGATTTCTCTTTAAAATTAGTGCCTTAATGTACCATTTTACTACAATCAAATGTCATTTCAATTCATAATCGCACTGCTGTATATTGAAATAATTTATATATAAATGTAATCAAGTTGCGTATTAAATAAAAAATTATTTTAAATATAATAATTTTTTTAAATGGAATAAAAGATTTGATGTTTTCTGATTTATGAACTTTAAATCTCACGAGAAAGATATCAAGAATTTTCGCAATAAATTTACATTGATTTTCGACGTCAATAATCGATACAGTCAATTAGTAATCGTATGAATCTCTATTATACCTACAGAAACTAAACAAAAACGCAATCTAAGCGTTCCGTGTTTTTTAGTATTAATTAAAATAAAATGGACTTGGTCAGTGATAATAAAATCTCCCTAACACTTACACCACCAAACGTCGCAGAAAATGCGTCTCATACCTAAAAAATCGGAGAACAAGTACGAAAAAACACACGAAGAATTCATGTTCTGATTTGAATTTTGAATGTTTTGACGATCGTCGGAAAAATTTTATAACTAACACGCTGGTTAATGGCGATTAACGATCTCAAACGACAAGTGTAGGAGTATATTATTTTATAAATATAAATTTAATTTATTACGCAAAATTTTGAGATGACGTTTTACATTGTAGGTGGGGATGATTAGACAAATCGAATTTTGGTTATCATTTTAGCATCTACAATTTGACAACAATCGGTCTGATAGTTTCGAAGATTATTATCTGTGTAATAGAAAAACAGGGGAGACCTATTTTTTCCGAATCTGCTAGGATACATGAAACGCCGGCAAAACATAATAGTAGCCATTCGCCGGATGGCTATTTCAGTATTTCACTAGTTTGCGTTGAAGTGTAAAAATGAGTAAAAAATTTAGGGATCCTACTAACAATAAAGTTTTTTCTATTCCTAATTTAGATGAATGCTAAAAATAAATTTGTTGTTATTTTAACTAAGTTTGGTGCAGAGTAAAATCTCCCATTGCTGTATTTTCCGTTAGGTTAAATACGAAACAGAAAATTTTTCAATCTGCTGAAATTTTTCCAGCAAGATGTTGAAATAATTTTTCAACTATTTAATTTACTCGAAGTAAATGGACGATACTTTTCCACTTGCGAAATCTAAATCTTGTTTTGAAGAATTTCTAAATACGTAATTAATTGGTCTGTTAGCACGGATATTTGTCCAAAATATAGAGATGATAGAAAATGGAACATAAATATAATTTTTTTGGGGACTCATTATATTAAAGTAATTTTGCCATTATTAAAAAAAAACACAGATTTTCTCCGATTTTTGAGGACGCACAGTAAAAAAGAACCCAGATTCGTAATCCTGAGAAAATTTCGTATGGTATTGACGTCATTTCGGGTCGATTTGAGTAGTTTTTCTGGCCGATTTCTGCAGTTTTATAATTTCGCTCAAAATGGTGGATGCCGCCGGATGAATTGGTGGTTTCCTCAGTTATTTGTGGACATATAGAAAAAATAAGCGATTCGTGATCCTGAGAAAATTTCCTATAAGATAGGTGGCTTCGTGTCGATTTGAGTAGTTTTTCTGACCAATTTGCGCAGTTTTAAAATTTCGCTAGAAATGGTGGATGCGCCGGGATAATTCAGCATTTTTTTTTTCACTTATTTGTTGACGTACGTCAGAAAGGTAAAAATGAAAGATAAAAAGAAGAGAAGAAAATAAAATAAAAATCCTGAGATTTAAAAAGACAAAAAAAATGTTGTGTGACATAAATTTAGTAACCACTAGAAGTTCAACAAAAACAATAATAATTAAAGAAAAAAAATGTATGCAAATCTGTAGTTAATCTAATCTTGCACATTATTATTTTCCATAATTGGATAATATACTTTCTAGTTTTCCTACCGTTGGACTCAACAAGTACACAAATTTTTGGGATATTACACTTGCAGGATTTTAGTAGAAAAAGAAGTTGCCTGAACTCGATTTGGAATAACCTTTTAAAGTAATGATCAATAAAAACATAACTCTTGATCCGGTAAGGTGTTGAAATATTCGTTTCAGCTATAGGATTGTAATGGTCACCTTATTTCACATCTCGTGTTTTAATCAAATTAATAAAGTATCAGGGATCTACTTCAATGTTGCACACATTACACTTAATAAATGAAAGAAAATATCGTCTACACCGACAAAAATACTATATGCGGAAAATGCCATTTTAATTTTGCCAGATACATATAAAGAAAATCTTGTAATGGGACTATTTTGACGAATTTCCACTTCATTTTCTGAGCAAAAGCTAAGGAAGTATAATAATCAACTCTATCTGTGTCTGTCTGTCTGCCTGTCTATCTGTCTGCCATCTGTCCGGATTTTAATTAGATAGATAATCTCCGAAACTACCCGACCGATTGTTGTCGCAATTTCTATGCATATTAGGAGTATCAAGTAGATGTTAAAACGCTAACCAAAATTTGACCCCGTCAACAATTTGATGACATCCCCTCAATATTTTTTATAGTAACTAGGATTTAAATTTGATAAAATAATATCCTCCTGCACTTGTTGTTTATGAATCTGTCTTTAGATTTTCCCCGAAACATCTTAATTTTCACAAAATTGAAAATTGTGCAGCAACCTTTTATAATATAAGCGAAGTTCCTACAAGGTTGTTGGGTAGCTGGTCACGTCGAGTGTTTGTTTTCAAACATGTGACGCGAAACTTCCATAACGATCAAATGTCGCATGAGATTTTTTTGTTTTGTATAATGTTACTGCTGTTACCTATTACATTGTTTTATTGATCAAATCTCAAGAACGGTACAGTCCAATATTTTATTATTAGGATTACAATGCACGTGTCGGAACTGACAGACGTGTCCTTGCTGAAATAATGTTGATCGGAACATTCTCAAATGGGAAAATTGACTAATACAGGCATAACCTTGCCCTTTATCAATGCATTCATATTTTTGGAGCAATTGTTAATTCGTTTCCTATCATGTCACTCTAGATTAAATATAAACAAGTGTGTTTTTCTAACATAATGCCTTCGAATCAGACAGTGGAGGGTGTGGATGATTAAAATATAATATATTAGTGAATTCAGAAAAACAAGCTCTACAAGAATCTTAAAAAATAAATATATATTGTAATTAAAAAGCAGTTGATTGTCATAGAAAACCAAAACCAAAAAAAAGGGTGTTAAAACACTTTTATAAAATATCATTTGGTTTTCTATATTTTTAATTATCCAGTGTCAATTGTTTTAATCAAAATTTTTTCTTTTGCAAAAAATCGGATTAGTTGGGCTTGGGTTGTTCTGAAATTTTGAATAAACCTATTCACAACCTTGTCTATATGACGTCAGAGCAATATTTTTTTAATTCGTTTATTTATTATTATGAAAATTTCGGAACGCGGGTGTGACCACTGT